TCTGTTTAGAGACCAAAAGAACTGTTTTACAAATTTATCTGTAGTATTAAGCATCCGAACATCAAAATTTTGCTTTTTGAGAACATCACGACTGATGTCTGGGAGAAGGTATTGACTCGAAGGGTCCGTGACTAGAAATATTTAAATTATAAGTTTAGGTTCGCTGAGATTATTTTCATATTTCTTACCTTCAACATCAGGCATGATAATCTTATCATCGTCTGCCGGTTTGAAGATCGCATTAAGTGCCACAATATCTTCTTCTGTGAATTTAGATGCATCAGAAGGGAGATCTTTTAAGTCATAGCTGGAACGGGATCTGGAATCAGAACCAGAACTTATTCTTAAGGACTTGGCAGCTCTTGTAAGATCCGAATATTGTCTGAAAATACATTCAGAACACCGTTCAGGTGCAACTACAGTTTTTTGTTTTTTTGAAGCTTTTCGTGAAGTCTCTGAAGTACTCTCACTTTCAGCTTCTTCAGATTTTCGTTGATGTTTTTGGTCATGAGTAACACAACGTGACAAAAATGAAAGCTATTGTTGAAACGGTGAGAACGAAAAGTACAATTTTTACTGGAGAAATTTTTTGTAATTATATTTCACGCATGCGGAATTTCTATGACCTTCCGTAGTACAGACATATTTATGTTGATCATGTGTCCATGCTATTATTGAAGTGTTGTAGATGCAATTCATGCAAAAGATAATGCACATAATATTGATCATTATATCATTCTTTCATCATCATTTTTAGTAGACCACGATATATGTGTCAATTACATCAGAATGCAATAGCAATAGTATGTCATTTTGATAAATCTGATCTTTTTATTACTTTTACATGTAATTCCAAGTGGCTAAAAATTACAAGAGAATTGTTGTCATATCAAAATACTGCTAATAAATTTGATTTAATAGCTTGAGTTTTTCATATAAAATTATAGGAATTGATGAAAGAACTTTGTGAAAATCATTGGCTTAGAAAAGTTATAGCATAATCAGATTTATATTTTATTGAATTGTAAAATAGAAACTTATAGGATATTTATATAAAATACAAGTATAATAAAGAGATATTAAATATAATAAAGATAATAAATATAACTATAATAATAATAATAAATTAATTAATAATAAACAATATAATAAATATAATAATAATAGCTGTGATAATAGTGAAATCAGTGATAATGATGATCACACTTTTCATAAAGATTATTAGTGATCCTAATTAGCATAGACATTTAATGATATATACAGATTATTATTAACAGTGATAAAAGATATCATTTCAAAGGAACAATAAAAAATATTATTTTTAAGGAATGATTTTTGCTTTATCATTTAGTTAAAATAATTTTGTTCTAATTGAATGATTTATTTTATTATTTAGTTAGAATGATACAAGCAATTTTTTAATTTTTATTTGATTAGAATTATATAATTGTTCAATTAAACAATTTTTATTTTATTATTTTTTTCAATTGGAATAATATAATTATTCTAGTTGAATGATTTATTAGTTTTTATTTGACTAGAATGATATAATCATTTCAAATGTATAATTTAGACTGAACTAAATCTTTCAGAGAATTAATTTAACTATTAATCCTATAAAATATTAGTAATTAGTATATTTCCTTTCAAATTTTATTTTATTTTAATATATTTTAATTGATTTTAAAATATGTCAATCAGATATAAATCAAACGTTAATTAGCTAAGATAAAATAGATTGAATTTTAGCCAATTTTTAATATATATCAATTAGCTATAAATAAGATAAGTTAAATTTTAGCTGATTCTCAACCATTTTTTAATGTATGTTAATCAGCTAAAGCTGATTTTTGATAATTTGCTAAATTAAACTGATTTTAGACTAATTTTTGCATATTTATTTTAGCTAGTATAAAGATTATTTAAATATTATTTTTTTTGTTTTTTTTTTATATAACCTTTATTTATGCAATTTTTTTTTATTTTTTTTTTAAATTTTTTTGTTTTATTTTTTATTTTTTTAATTTTTTTTTTATTTTCTATTTTATTTTGTTTTTTTTTTATTTCATTATTTTTGTTTTATTTTTATCTTTTTATTTTTTTTATTTTTATTTTTTCCTTTTATTTTTTTTAATAATTATAATTTTCTTTAGTATAGATTCTTAAATTTTATCATGTTATAATAATTTTGAGTTATTAATATAATATAAATTTATTGAAATATTATATTTAAATTTATCTTTTTTTATGATCAAGTAATAAAGTAGTTATCTATATATGCATAATCTTTTACCAAATTTTTTAAAAAAAAATTTTGCAGTTTTCAGTTACTAAATTTAGAAATTCAATAAATATATTATTTAGACAAAGTATTTATTAAATATAAAAAAATTATATGAAAATGAAATATTATAAGTATCAAATTTATAAATATTTTAAAATATATGATAATCAAAAAGTTACTTTATATAACAATTAAAAAAAGAAATTAATTTGATTAATGAAGTAAAAGAGATGATTTAACCTCTTACAAAAATATAATAAGATGTGATATCAAGTGAGATACAAACTGATCAAACTGATTATTCTGGTATATTATATATAATATAAAATATTAAATAATCTAATAAAGAAAACCTTTTATTAATTTTGTCATAATATCAAAAAAATACATTCAACAAATAATACACTTTTTTTTTCAGATAATTAATTTATACATATTATATTTACTTATATTTCTACATTATTAAACATAGAAAAAATACTTTTAATAATAGAAAACTGAAATATATTAGAATTGAAATAGATTACATAGCTAAAAAACTTAAAGAATAATTGAATCACTTGTATTTTTCATTTATAGTTTAACAGAGAATTAGAAAAATATGTATTATACAAAATTTTAACTTTTTTCTAAAAAAGAAATTAATCAATTAGCATTTATTCATTTAATCAGAATTTTCATTTGTAAATAAAACTTTAAATATTTTATTTGCTAATAAATAAAATTTAAATATTCACAATTATATAGATATTTGAAAATTATCAATTAATATTTGAAAATCAAAAAATATTTCAATTAAAATAAATTAAAAAAAATAAAAAAATACTTATTTATTTATCTAATCGAAAATAATTAAATAATGAGAAAACTAATCAGTCAAAACTTTCAAATATTTGAAATGATATTTGAATTTTAAATAAAAATCTTAACTTAATATACAGTCAAAAATATTTTAAAATATTTTTTTTACATTATATATTATTTTTTAATTATTCTTCTTATCATCTATTTATACTATTTAAGAATTATATTTTATATAATTAAAATCATAATATTTTGAGAAATTCTATTTAATTAATGTTGAAAAACATGTATTTTAAAAGTAAATTTCTTTTTTTTCTAATGATTAAGTATTAAAGATTATTTTTTAACTCATTGTAGATAATATTATAAAAAACTTTTCTAATAAAACAAATATTATAATCATATTAATTATATTACATTAATAAATCTTTTTTACTAATAACCTAAAAGAATAATATTCATATAATTATACAATATTCACACTACTGGTAAGTTATTCGAAAATTTTCAGTCAGTTAATTAATTTATTGATAATTTTGTTAAATAAAGGATTTTTATTTAGAAATATGAGCTACTGATAAAGTTGTTTTTATTTAAAATTACTTTTTCTTATTCTTAAAATAAAATGTGGAAATCTACATAAAGCTGTATTAACTATCAAGTAGATTTGTAATACAAAAAGTGTGATTTATTTAGGAATGTTCAAAATTATTATACAATTTATTCATTCTTTCTGTATACAGATTTGTTAGCCAACTGATATTAATGCTATTTCTTTTTATAAAATATGCTAGTATAATTTGATTTCATAATGAGATTGGGATATTAATATTGAATTTAAGTAAAATTTGAATTTCAAATACAAGATCATCTGAAATAAGGTATTTGAAATACAATTTCAGATACAAATCTTAGTTTTAGACAAATTATGCAATTATAAATTAAAATTAAAGAAATATTAAGAACCTATTATCTACATGCAATTTATTTAATATTATAATTTTTATTATTTTTTAACTGTTCTTTATTTTTCTTAGTTACTTTGAATGAAATAAAATAACTAATGATCATTTCTCTGTAAAAAGTTCAATAATTATAAAAAAAAAATTAACAATTTCTTCACTTATAACCTTATCTTTGGTTAAACTAAGGAATGAAATAATAAGAATGGTTAAGTACAAATAGATAAAAACCCAGCCAACCAAATTAAATTTTAAACATTTCTATAAATAATCACTTATTTTTATTTTTATTTCTTTATTTTAAAGTTCGTCATTTTGTTTAAAAGAATTAAAAAGAAAAAATAATCTATATGTTTTAACATGTGAATGATTATTTTTTCCTTTTTCAGGTTGGATCGCTTATTTAAACAAAAACCTAAAAATAAAGATAAAAATAAAAAAACACATTTATTAACTGACGTAGCACCCGATGCATTCAAACACCTGGATAAAAATCAAATTTAAAAAAAATAAATGAAAATGAAAATGGAAAAAAATAGAACTTATTTAAATTACGCAGCATCCAATACGATCGAAACCTGTATGAAAATAAATAAAGAATAAAAATGATAAAAGAATAAAGAAAATAGAGAAAAAATTAAAACAAAATAAAATAAAAAAAGAAAACTTACATTCAACAATAAAAAATATATATATATAAAATAAAATCAACATAATACATGCATTATAATTTTAAAAATAAAATCGAAAGACCTAAAAAAGATAAAATAAACCGTAAAATGAAGAAAATTAACAAACCTACAACATTCTTAAAAAAAAATAAATAAATAAATAAAAAATAAAATAAATATCCAAAATTTAAATGGTATTAACTTTAATAAATAAATGCCGTGAAATCAAATGCTATCTTCTTAATTTATATATTATAATTCAACTAAAAAGACAATTTACATTAGTATGTAAAGATTTGAGTATTTACGAAATTGTAAAAAAAAATTGGCATATTGTGGTTATGATTGGTTAAAAATAGTAGGAATTCAGACAGGCGATTCAACATTAGCCCTGTTCAATTCTAGATCGGACTGGATCGACCGAAAAAATAAATAGATAGTCAATCAGATCATTGTTATAATTGAGCACAATTTGTACGGCTCGATCGAATCATGTTGTAAACAAGGTTTGGTTACTGGCACGCGTCACGTTAGTTTATCAGCGAACACCTATTTTCGTGGACTGACCGCTGATCGATTTAATAACCAATCATTTAAGGGCACATTTTGCGGTCAATCCGATCCGATCTAGAATTGAACAGGGCTATTAATTCGGATGATCCAAATTTGATATATTGGAGGTTTTGCTACTAACGGATCATATGGAATTGAAAAGGGGGAAACGGCTCGAAAATTAAAAATCGAGTTGATACTAAAAGTCATATTTGGCATATAAAAGTTAAATTGATTTTTTCCGGCTGTTTCTCCATATGATTTCCCATATAACGCCGATCTTAAACGAATAATCAATTTCATAGGATAAATAAAACTCCAAGCACGAGGTTACATTATTTTCTTTCTTGAATGATCTTCTTAAATGTTGA